TGGGCTCCTCACAGCCGGGAGCAGAGGGGACCCATGAGTTGGCACTGGCCACCACACAGGGGGTCGTGCAGAGGGACCACGTGCCCACCCTCACCACCCCATCCCTGCCCTCATCCCACCCCTGGGACACCCCTGTCCCCTCCTCAGGGCTCCCCCAAAGGACATGTGCCCCAGGTCCCTGCTCCAGTCCCCCTGGGCTGGGGTACCAGCGGAAGAGGTGCAGCTGGGGTGGTGCCGAGGGACTCACCACCCAAAAACCAGAGTCCTTCTGGGTGTGAGGAGGGGGTGACCCCCCACACCAGGGTGTCCCCCAGCAGCACCCACAGGCACACCCAGCCCTTGCTGTTGAAGGGACAGGGCTGGGTGCAACCGGCTGCGTCACTGCTCGTTTCACCAGGCAAGAGAAAGGTGCACCCAGTGTCCCCCTCCACACCCCACCCTGAAGGGCTGCACCCAGGGGTGCTGCAGAAACATGAGGGAGTCACGATGGCTGGGTTTGTTCAGTGCCACCCTGAGTCACCCGGTGACTGTGCCTTCAGGGCTGGAGGAAGTAGGGACACAAAGGGACGGTGTGTCCCAAACCATGGGGAGAGACCCTGATGCTTTTTCCCCCCACATCTGTGTAGGACCTGCATAAACGTGGGGACAGCAGCACACAGGCAGCACCATGGGGAACACAGGAGCAGCCAGGCAGAAGCAGCCACCACCCTGTTCTGGGGGGCTGCAGCGAGCAGAAAGAGGGTGAAGAACGTGATGCCACCATGTGCTGGGTGGTGGGTGTCAGGGTGGGGACACCCCAAGGGGCTCAGATGTTCTGGCAGCAGGGTGCCTGCCTGCCCTCCTGCTGGGTGGGCAGCACCCGGATGGGCTCGATGGTCGTGGTGGGACCAAACTCTGACTCTGGTTGCCCAGTGATCTGCCTCTGCGACACGATGCGATAGATCTCTGCAGCAGAGAGAGAGAAGAGGAGGACAAAAGAATTCTTTAAGTACATATTTCAGTGGGGGACCTGCCCCCCTCCAAAAACACCCAGCTCAAGGGGTGCAAATGCCAACATCTCCCCAACCATGGGAGCAGGATCCCACCCCAGAACATACAACCAGTGTCCCCAGCAGGGTCCTGGAAGGGCACAATATCGGAAACCATCCCCAGGTCTCCCTCAACCCTTTCCTGGTTGTCCCTTACCCGAGAGGATGTTGTGGAAAGCCGTCTCCACGTTGGTGGAGTCCAGAGCCGACGTCTCAAGGAAGGACAACCCGTTCTTCTCTGCAAGGAGAGGGCGAGCTCAGGTGGGTTCCATGAGCTACAGCCACCCTGGGATGGGATGGGATGGGATGGGATGGGATGGGATGGGATGGGATAGGGCAGGATGGGGGAGATACCTGCAAAGCTCCTGGCCTCATCGGTGGGCACAGCCCGCAGGTGCCGCAGGTCACTCTTGTTGCCCACCAGCATGATGACAATGTTGGCATCAGCGTGGTCCTGCAGCTCCTTCAGCCAGCGCTCGGCGTTCTCGTACGTCAGGTACTTGGCGATGTCGTAGACGAGCAGAGCTCCCACCGCCCCTCGGTAGTACCTGGGGGACAGCGAGGGGACAGGGTGTGGTGGTTGCACTGGGCTACTAAGGA